CCACTCTCAGGAATCGAACCCAGTACCTTCGGTCTTGCATGCGAACGCTTAACCTCTGAACCACTGGGCCGGCATCCAACAGTGTTATTATGAAACTTTGATCATTCTATGGATTTTGCGTAACCTCATCCATATTGCATTTCTGTAACTATCAATAAACCAAATAATTTCTTTATTTTTCAATCAAATAGATTAATTTAAATTGGATATATTTTTGTATTAAACTAATTATTTGCAACTTCAACTTCAGTAAAGTGAAAAAAATAAGACCACGTCTATCTTCTACTTCTCTCTTATTCATTAACTTGATTGAAAAGTTCAAGGTTACATAGAAGCTCTCTTAGACTTTAGAAGAATTAATTTCACATCCAAGTTTGTTCAATTCTATATATATATTGATTCTTTTGTGAATAATAAATAATGACAGATTTTTTTATCAAACTGTAAAATTCTGTATACAAATCACAAAGAATTGATTGAAACAACGGAAAAATCTATTGAAACTTGAATAATTAACTACATACTGAATAATCAGAGCAAGTGAAACACCGGTTAATTAAGAGAATTCACTCGGCTGAATAAGTAGGTAGGTTAATCGTAACACGCACGCATACGTTAAGCATCAATTTAACAAACATCACCTTTAAAAATAAATGAGAATTTAGGGATTTTAGTTAGTATCATTATTCTCATGATTTTTTTATTTCAGATTTCATGCTCTCATGAAAAACTTTATGTGAAGGATGAATATAATGGAGTTGGTTCTAGGTCATGTGAAACCTATGTAAATATCCTGTTTCGTTTGTTTTGTTTTGTTTTTTTGAGAATAAGTGTACTTTTCATTGATAAATATAAATGATATCCATTATCTAGAGAGAGAGAGAAAGAGGAGCGAAATCAAGGAAATCTAATACAACAGAACTCTCAACATAATCAATATTATTGTTCACCAGTAAATTATTGAATTACAATTGACATAAGACAGTTTTGGGGCAGAGTTATTTATTCCTAGTATGGTGCGAGCTACTTATAAGTAGTATATGACATGAGTGTCAACGTAATGTCTGGCAGCAGAAGATGAGGGAAGATCAAGAAAGGAAGAGTTAGAACACATTGGAATTTGTATGAAACGCATGAATAGTGACAATGGATTGATGTTTTGCAACAGGAACAGTCAGTCCAGTTCGATATGATGAACTGATATTTTGCAAATTAACGATTTACGCGATATGGTTTTCTGATTTTACTGAGTAACTCTGTAATTTTTGTCAAATACAATTCGGTTGCCACACCTGTGTTCTCCTTCACTACACTAGTACTGAACACATCAGTAACGCGTAGTCGAATGATTTAGTAAATTCATAGGAGTATATGAAAACAGTGAACTGTTACTAAAATATTATTCAACTGAAAATAACCTAAAATTAGATTTTGTTGATAATTAATGAGTAAATATCATTCAACCATAAGTAACCAGTGGAGTAATAGTATACTACTTATAAGTAGATGACCTTGATTTGATTAAAAAAAATACACTGAACACGTGAATACTAGAATAAATGATTTTAGAAATGTATTCAATCGGAATAGTGAACATACAAAACTGACTGACCTATTAAATGAATAAAAAAGAATGCATATGATTTATGATTTAAGACACACCTAGAAATCATTTATCATATCAAAATGATTTAGTGATATAATTTGGAATAATACTTTCCCTTAGAAATTCATATAGATATTTCTCATCAAGTAAACTCAATTCTTCAGGAATACAAAGTTGATTTATGTAGCAAGAAAAATGATCAAAATTATAATTATATTTCTACACAAATGTTTGTTCATAATTTATGAATACTGATCTAGAAGTTCATTTAACTAAGGTTGGGTACGCTTACTTACATACTTATTCACTTACGCCTGTTATGCCCCGCCCCCAATGGAGCATAGGCCGCTGACTACTTTTCTCCAACCTACACTGTCCTTAAATGGTTACTCTGGTTATCAGAAGGAGCACCGGCCTCGTGAATTCCGAGGGAACTCGGCTTTCATCATAAGACATCATAATTCTACCGAAAGAAGAACTTTAACTCCCAAGACAGAGTTAAAATTATTTGAATTATGTTTTCTGGTTAGCGTTTTTTTAGCGAGTTAGTTTTTGTGAGATTGGGTTGCCAACACCAATCCCAACCTTCCTACTTTATCCGGGCTTGAGACCAGCAGTAGCCCCAGAAAGGCTCCAGGTTGGGTAAGCGCTCCACATTTTATTCTGCGATTGGATTCAATCAAAATATTTGAACTACAATTGATGTCATTGCAGTTTGAACAGAGCTCTTATACAACTAAGTCAATTATGGAGTATACTTAAAATCTCTGGATTAGTATACGAATTGTGTTAATTAACGTGGAAATTTATGTCATCCCCATATTCAACAAGGAGATCTTGATGTTAAGACTCTGACACGATCACTGGTGCTTTGTTATAATGTATGATGACTATACATTCAGTATTGTAGAAAGTTGAATAAGGTTGGTGAGATTAGAGAATGAAAGCAGACAAACGGATTCAAAGACTAAGAAATCCAATGTCATGGTTTTAAGTTAAAGGTTAGCATAATTTTTTAATGACGTGAAATGATTGCCGAGTAGCAATTAATTTGAAACTATAAATTGAAAAAATCCCTTTCTTGATGTCGAAATGACAAAGAAATACGATTAATTTTAGGAAGATCTGTCTACAGGAAAGTCCTTTAGAATGAAAAGCTACCTCGTCCTGAGGACAAAGATAATGAACTGAGCCTCCTTCAGAAAATATTCATTAAATATCGGTATCCATTCAGACTACATTTATAAGAATATCCTCCGTAGAAAAGAAAATAATATGTGAACTTCGATTTCGAAGGCAATGTAAGTGAAGACGTCTTGAAAAGCAGAACTTTCAACTTTGTCAACAAAATGTTCTTTGCAGCAACTTGGCGACTAGTTTGATCGAGCCCAGCAATGTTGAACGATATTCGCAAGCATCTCATCCAACCATTTCCATGTGCGCTTATCAATTTACTTGTTCATGTGAAGCCTGGTATATCGGTTCTTCGATGTGTATTTTATCAAAAAGAACATTATCTGGTCTGGTTGAAAAGAGTGGGTAAGATGTCTCAATAAGAAGTTCAATAGTCTTAAACTTTATGAACACAGGTCATTTGATCAAAACGAACTGTACATTCAAAGCAGTCTATAAGGTGAGTAGGAAGCTGCCTTCTTCATATGATTGCCGAAGCGCTTGCTATACATCTGGAAGAACCAGGATTATGTATACAGAGTAAACTCATACAACTGCTTCTTCTTCCATGGCCTAAGTCTATCACAGCCGGAAGCTCTGGACAGCTGTTTCGTCCTGGTATGGGATTCATAAGCTGTGCGCATCCACAACAACATTATTATTAACTCCCTTAATCGAAACCATAGTTTTATCCCTGTATCTAATTTTCCTCATTATTACCATATTTAGAAACATTTTCATTATCACTATTATTGTATGATTATGTTTAATGTTTCAATTAACTAAACAGTGTATATTTACAATAACGAAATAGGCAACTTCAAAGAACATTAAAAATGATTTTTATGCACTTTTAACAAACTACAAAGTACATACAATTAAATATCTATAAGTTCAACCCTCCCCGGGTCAAGGCAGTATCTACCGAAGACAAAAAATGAGTGGTCACGAAAAATCCCTAGATTGATCAGTGTTAGACAATAACACCGTTGGATGCCGGTACATTGGTCCAGATGTTAGACATTCTCACACGAGTAGCAGCAGCCGTGGATGTGCACTGCTGATGACTCCCATACCAGGACAATACGGTTATCCGGTGATTCCAGTTTTCTAATGGTGGTCTAACAATGACTGATTCATGATTTCAGTAATAAACAACCATCTTCATAATTCTATAATGAAATACCTAGAAGTATTTATCCTCATGTTACAAGTCAGAGTCAGATGCAACATAGAACTTCGTACGTAAGTACATCACTTCATGTCGCCATACCACATCAGCACAGAGATGTACTTGTCAATTCAAATCCAATAGTAGAAGAGGTAGTAAAGGCATTAGAAGTAATCGAAGGTTAGGATTAGAAGATATTATTCAAGAAGTATGATTCAGTGAGAAAAGTTTAGAAAGTCAAAACTAGAGTTGTTGAAGAATCCAGAAGATTAGGATTTGAGAGAACACAGAATAAATGCATCGGCGCCATTGCGAACGATTTCGAGCCATGTCATTCAAGGTCTCTAACCATCGATTATTATCATCTCGCGGACCCCAACCAGGTAAGTTGACAATTACCGACATGACTAAGTCCACTTGTCAATGACTTCATGGATTGCTGCCATGTTTTGGTTAGGCCGCCCCTAACTTTCTTCCAGCTTACTCCTACACTATAAAACAAAGCTCATCGAGGCAGTCGGTGGTTAGGCATAGGTAGCACATGTCCCAACCACCTAAACTGATGAAGTTTAACTACTTCATCTATTGATCTGCCATTCTTACCTAGCACCTGTTTCCTAATAACAGCATCGCTCACTCGGGTGTCCCAGGATATACGAGCAATGCTTCGAAGACATCTATGATCGAAAACCAGTAACCTACGAATATCTTCTTCTCTCACTGGCCATGTTTCACAGCCACAAAGTAAGACGGAGCAAACTACTACGCATTACACTCGTCCTTTAGTCAACAAACGGAAATCTCGCCTACGCCATAAATGACGCACGTTGGCAAAAGCCAATTGAGCCTTCTGTATCCGAGCTGAGATTTCGTCAGTTACCAGGCCATCGGTGACTGTTACAATGTGAATAATTTGTCTTTTTATGATAGAGTTCACCACCTACTTAGTCTTATTCATTACATTGATCTATATTATCACTTTTCTATTGGTCTACATGAATTGCGCTCACTTGTGATTAAAATTCAGTAAATTAAAATAAAATAACAAAATCAACTGATTATTTATTATTATCATTTAGTAGTATCGTATTGTGCCAGTTTACAAATGGAAAATATTTTTCAATATGTCAATAACAAAACTTCTTTTAAATTGGTTCATCGTGAAAAATAGTTATACATATATGACTATGAATAGAAGTGATTTATTGATCAATTTTCCGCAATGCAAATCTTCAAAAAAAACATCAACAACAACAATAACAAATGAAGGTCAGCGAAATAAGAAAAGACTAAATGGACAAAGCATTTATTTCTTATTCGTATTTTCTGTGTGGGTGTGGGTGTATGTGTGTGTGTGGTAACGTGTTATGTATGTTTTATGAACTTGTAACAAAATAGCCAAGGAAATAAAATTCATTCCATGCGGAATATTGTGTAGTAGTGGAAAATGGTAACATGAGTGACACAAAGAAACAGTTACGTCAACAAAACATAAGCTAAGGCTAGACATGCACAATGGGCAAAAGAGTATATAAAAATTAAAAATATATAGAAAAAACAAACAAACATTGAAAGCAAAACAAAGTCAAATAAATAAAAATAATCATCGCCACGTTGAGTGAATGAATAGTACAATAATCGATAATTTCCATATTGATTCATATTCATTATTTTTTGCATTTACGCATGAACAAGTGCCAACAATAGACGACGATAATCTCCACTGGTATCACCCTGTGATGTAATAGCAAAAACAGAGTAACAAGCATTATAAATAACAATTTATCCATTTTATAAGGGAAAATAGAAGTTGACCACTTGTAATCTTTGATATCAGTTCAGTGGTCCAGAGGTTAGACGTTCGCGCGCAAGACCGAAGGCCCTGGGTTCGAATCCTGCGGGGTGCAGGAGTCGTGGATGCGCATTGCTGATGAGTTTTATATCAGAACGAAACGGCCATGTCTAGTGCTTCCAGGTTTCTGATGGTTGTCTAACAATAATCGACTCATGATTTCAATGCGTAACTTAACAACCCCATAATGCAAAACCTTATTCAAAACTTTAAGTCCATCGAATGACTGTCCGATCTCAATTACTTAATGGATAGGATTTTAGTGTTTTAAGTGAAAAGTTCTGAATTAAAATCCCAGTGAGGACGACAACATTAAGCTGCAAGCATGCATAACTGATATAATCCGAATACGGGTGAAATGCACACTTTGAATTCCATTACTAACTTACACACCAAATATTCTGGGAATGAGATTAACTATGTTTTATATAGATCAGAGAATAAAATCAACTTTAGCTTGAAATAGGTACCGTCTATGTCTGGTGTACTAGATATGACAATTTATATTCTTCTGACCTCAAATGTAACACGCTGTTAGTTCATTGAAAGTCGACATTGTTTAGTACATGTTTTTCAATAACAGTTTATATTAGATATAAGTTTATGTATATGAGTTATTTCATTAACTAATTTTATTTAATATTATGAATTGTTGTTCAATGTTCCATTAATGTTGTTATTTATATTTCTACTTCGTTACGTTTCAACTGGCTAATTGAGTCGCACGGCGTCAATGTAAAGGCTAACAAATTTATCTCTGATCATACACTGCACATACTTGACCTTCATTACATATTATGTAAGATGCTGACAAGTTGGAATAGTATTTAATTACATTAAGTGTGTGTGAGTGTGTACCCGTCTATCAGTCAGTCAGTCAGATGCAACGTAGAACTTCGTACGTAAGTACATCAGTTCATGTCGCCATACCACATCAGCACAGAGATGTAATTGTCAATTCAAATCCAATAGTAGAATAGGTAGTAAAGGTATTAGAAGTAATCGGAGAGGTTAGGATTAGAAGATATTATTCAAGAAGTATCATTCAGTGGAAAAAGTTTACAGAGTTGAAGAAACCAGAAGATTAGGATTTGAGAGAACAGAGAGAATAAATGCACTGGCGCCATTGCGAACGATTTTGAGCCATGACCGTAGCTGCTACCTTGACGTGGTGGTCGGGCTGGCCTATCGTGATGATCAAACCGAGCTATAGTGGCTGGAACACATGTTCCTTCAGGTCCTACCATGCCAGGCAGGTCGATTGGAGAACGATGAGACTAAAAGCAGCTACCCATGGTCTGAGGGCGAAGTCGTACTGCTGACTGCAGAGAGGTGTGACAGCAGTAAGGTGTTTCCCTCGGACAACCAGCATCTGCAGCGATGCTGCCTTCTCACAAGGAAGGAAGGGTTAGAAAAGGTCGACCCTAAAAATGTCACACCTCACACTATCTCACGGATTTCCGTCTGCGACGGTAAGGGCGCCCACTAAGGGCCTTTAAGAGCGGAGCTAATACTCAAAAAACCTTTAACCAAAAGGCCGTGCGTGACCGGCCTCAAGCAGTTGTCCCTTGGGCTCTGTAGTCACGCACCCAGGTCTCTAAGACCAACGCTAATATACCTTCCTTTTCAGGTTCCTCTTGGAACAACCTTCCACGGTGTGGGCAGCCGGGAAGTGACAACCGCCCTCATACCCGTAACAGCACACGAGAACAAATTGGTTGAAATCAAATCCTTCCTACACCAACAAACACCCGTATATCATCTCAAGGTTAAATGGTGGGCCAAAATTCATAAATGCGGTACACTATGGAAAGAAATCGACCGAGCACCTAGTGAAAGTTTTATACCCATCAATATATCTTTATATGAATTGATAGCATATATATAAATAAAATATTCAATTTCCAATGAGCTCATTATGAAAGAAAGCTTTGTTTTCACTTACTTCAATCCAAGATTCTAAAGTATCACCAGTTAAACCGTTGAATTCTTTTTTAATCAAACCCAAATCAATTTCAGAACGTGAGACTATAACACGAATTAAATCTCTGTCATTAGTTCCAGCTCCTTTCATGGATTTTTTTAATTTCTCAGCAAAATATAATGGTGCATTAGTTGCACACTCAACTAAAAATGTTTAAGAAAAATTCTGTTTAAGTGTGATGCGCAAAAAAAAACACGAATATTCACCAAATTAAAAGAAATCTGTGCAAGTTATGCATCAACATGAAGTTGCTGTATTTCTTCTCACTTACTTACTTACATCAAACAGTGAATTATGTTACTTTACGATTTCTTATTAGTGTACATGTTTAAGATCTATTTTTTGAAAGCGTTATTTGTGAAAATCCCTCCATGTATACATTTGTATTCTGTCCTTATTGATTCGTTCAGTTGTACATCTTGTTTATCTGTTCGATTCCATTTTGAGATGATAATATTTGTATTTTAATTATAGTTTCTATTTCTTTTGTGCCTTCACTGAGTTTCTATGTTTCTTTCTGAACTGTATTTATGTTGTTTAACCTGATACTTAGTTATGGCGACAGCCATATTGAATTGTTCCTCTTTTGATTGGATTGGTTGCACTGACTGGAATTGTGCATTTTGATTGTGAATTGAAGCACTCTTCCAGAATAGGAAACACTCTGTGTTATAAAGCAACCAAATATTATCTGTCGAATGAATCTGATCTATCCAGGAGGGATAGAATAACATTTATTTGTTGCTGTTGATTTGATTAATTGAACAATTGTTGAAGGAATAACCGAGTGATAATGATGCACATTCATATTTTAATGAACATTAGAACCGTTATTTACCTAAATCAGTTGTTTTGATTTCGACTGGCCAAGGCGCATATCTTCTAACCTACCTAGACAGTTATTCCTCAATCCAAACCTCAGTTTGGATCCTACACATGTACAATCGTGTATAAAATCGAATTGCAAAAATTCACTAAATTTAGCGATTTCGACAAAATATCTCCACATCGTTATTTGTAAGTTCAATGGTTCCAATTTCTAATTACCTGTTAATTCATCATATTGCACACAACTATGACATTTTAAATTGGTGCACAAAAACATATTGAACCTAATCAAGTGACATTTACAGTGGTCATCAATAAAAAAATAACTAATTGTAATTCATTAGATAAAACATGACTCATAGACTAATAAGTCATTACTAGTCACACACACCCACACACAGATGCGTCATTCTGATAAAATCACAAAAAGTAAACTGAAATCGATATTCCTAAGTACGTGATTTGCAAAGAGTTCTTCCACAAATCAATTACGCAAATCTTAAAATCTCTTAGCAAATTATAAGCGTGATAAGTGCAAATGTTACATGTAAACAAAAAAACAAATTACTAAGTGATTGATTACACAATGATTACATAAGATAATATTTCAACATCAAATGTATTTTTGGCAACCATATGATTTGAAATTGTTTTCTTCACTCTAGTTGTACATCAAGTCTGTTTTCGACGTCTAGTTGAAAATTCATATTTTAATGTGTTTTTCTTAGCTTTTCATCATCATGAAATGATCGTGTGTGTTTGAATATAAAGTTTGATCAATAGTGAATGATATTCATTTTACAACGAACGCTTAAAGTGTTCAACTGAAAGCGATAAACATCCTTGTTGAAATGATGTGGAGAATGAAACAAAGCGACAATGACAACACAAAGGCAGCTATGCTAATATTTATTTTTGCCCGTTTTTTTATTCTTTAAGTCTTAAGCTCTCGTTTGATGTATGAGATTCACTGTCCTGCTCTTTGTTGGTTCAAAATCACTAAAATTTAAACGTAACCTACCTATTTTCCTACCTTAGTTGTCCTAGTTTGAACAAAATCGTATTTCTCACATTCTTTGTGCGTTGTGGTCTTGCTAGATGTATACTTATCCCCAAGTCTTTTTACGTGAGTCCGAATCAAGAATACATAGGGTAGTGTTTCAGCCAATCCGTCTTCTCTCTCACTCGGTTATTCGCTATCCAGTTTATCAGCCGATAGAATAGTCTACTTCACTCTATCCTCAAGACCGTTTATCATGAATTTCTGGCATCAAGGTCGAACTGAATAGCTAATTACCTCAGTACCTTAAACTAAGATCGAGACAAATTATATACCGTATACTAGTGGTCAGAAGGATCAAGGATGTAACAGTGTAATCATTTTCACGATATGCTTTAACGTTAGTTTCTATAGAGCTCACATTGATATAACCCGGGAAACTTGTTGGATGCTTTAGGAAACTGTGATGATCATTTAAATTCAGGAAGCGTTTGATAGCTGTTGCATTCCAGTATAGTACTCTTCAATAGTATACTCCCACAACGACACTAGGAAGAAGATCCAGTGCTTCCTGACTTTCACTGGTTGTCTATAATATAAACTATATAATATATTGTGGACAGTTGTAATCCGTAAAAGTGAGTCAAAAGACATCTTAATGGTAATGAATTGACATTTGTGCACTGAAACGACATGTTAAACTGATTACAATTAAATAACTAACAAAGTAAATAAAACCATAACATACCAATCGTTATAAAAGCCTGTAGTAAATTCCCGGACATTTCAGATTTTAAAGCATCTATTAGAGTTTTCTTACTCACATTACTGTAATCTCGACATAAAGCTTTTATATGTTCATGAGATCGTGTAGCGAGAACGTGAATAAATCTGTTTTTGACAAAATGATGAAAAGTAAACAAAGTCAGTTTATGCATAACTAATATCACCTAATAATTATTGATATATGGAAACTAACTGTTAAACTTAAATAAACCAGGGGTTCGATTTTAGTCAGACAATTAATCAAAAGCAAAAAAGAGTGAACAGTTATTTCGTTCTAGCATGGATCTCTTCAGGGATAGAAGCCAGAACCGTCGGTCTCGAGGCGCCTGCCTAAATAGGTGAGCCGAGATCCACTTCGACATAGATTACAAGCTCGTCAAATACATAACAATAAGGATAGGACTTCGAGAATCGACACTGTTGATAAAACCGCATGTTCGCCTTTCACTGAAAACTCGAATACATGGTGAACAAACACCTTTCTCTATACCTTTAAATTAAGAAGTCTGGACACATAGAATAGAATGCAACTGTTCAACCGAACGGTTGAGATTCGACTGTTTCAACTAATAAGTCATACGTTTCTTTTCGCCACGTTTCTTGTAAAAAGAGGTTTATGGAAAGAGAGGTAATTTACAGTATTTTAATTAGAAAAAAATATCAGTGTTTGGTTTGTAGTTAATAGTTTAGCAGTTAGAAGTTACTAAATCTTCACTAATAAGTAGCAAGCTTCAACTTTGTTTCACTTTATTTTTCTTTTAGGCATTTGGATAGCTCTCAAACAACTGAACTTTGACTCAAAGACAAGTAAACAGACATGTGCTTAATATGGAAGTTGTCCAGTGATCTAAAACACAGGACGAATTACCAAACTACGGATTATATATATATATATATATATATATATATATATATATATATATATACAGTTGAGTCGTATTCTTTGGTCTTATATCAAAATGAGTAGAAAAGCTTTTAAATAAAACGAACTACAATTATGACGCTTTATCTTCCCCGTATTGAATAATGGTTCTATGCATACAATTATAGAATGAGCGACATGGGTACATGCACAAGATGGATGAAAATATTTATAGCTCAGGTTGATAATTTTGATGGATTCATGTTCCCTAAGCTAGTTTAAACATGTTTTGCTGTTTTTCATTTACAGATAACCTTGTGTATGCTAATTTATCGATATTCATTTATGCTATATTGTGTACACGTAACACGATTACACCACTCAGTTCAGTGAAAGTTACGGGTTAACTCACAAGTCCATGATTTAATATGAAGACTACCTCCATCATGCCAGAGTGATTTATTTAAGGAGACATAACTCATGTAAACCCTATTCATATTCTTAAAATCTACCTCTCTTAATATACGGTATGTATAGTATATTCGTTGTGTCATACATAACTAAGTAATATGTTTGAAAACTGTGTGCATCGGTTGATTTCTGTGTTTCGTGTATAAGTGCACTGATGAGATTTATATTAATCGTCAAAGTGGACATCAATTTGCTCTGTCAATATAACTCATAGAATCAAATGAGAATTCCAGTGCCATTGAAAACGTAAGATTACGTTAATGCCCAACTATACGTTCTATACGAGTGTTGGTTTTAAATTTGTAACAATGCATTGAATCCATACCAGTTTCTAAATCATTAAAAAAATAACTGACGAATATAACTTCTCCGTGTGATTACACTAACTCAACGATCAGCTGATTTCTTAAGCCATTACTTTTCAGTATCGTAAGGCATAGTGACACACAGAATGTATGTGTCTAGACATATCATGCGATGTTGCAGAATCCGGACAGTCCTGGGTCAATTTATCGATGAGAAATTACTATAGTGGAATGCTGATCTAGGTGAAGAAGGACAAAATTATCAACATGCATGATTTGTGTTTGCTAATCAGTCCTTTCTACTTATTTTATTTAATCTTCTTATTTTCACAATGGGTCTATAGTCAGTCGTTGAGAGTTCGTATTATAAATGAATCACACCATAATGGAATGATTACTTTACATTATATCCAATCTGATTTCCTATATATCATGGATATAGATCAATAAACAGACGAAGAGGGTTACACATCGTTATATTCACTCATGATAACTTGATAAATAACACAGATCATATGTGTTAACTACGCAGTAAACTTGAATACAACTTAGAATTGTTACTTTTGTCATATCGATCACAGCATTCCTTAAAATATATTTGAGCTATATTTGAACTAAATAGTTTAATGAGTTCACTATTTGAACTTATCCAGTTAATGATACCATTTCTTGATTACAGTATTACAAAATAAACTCATACTGACAAACGCTCATTTATATTTGTAACAGATTTTATGATAGAATACTGAAATATATTTATATAGCTTTGTATTATATAATTTCTACTTATACATTTGAAATCATGAATCAATCATTGTTAGACTACCATTAGAAACCTAGCGGCATTGGACGGCCGTCTCGTCCTGGTTTGAGACTTATCAGCAGCGCGCATCCACAACTCCTGCACCTCGTAGGATTCAGACCTGAGACCTTCGGTCTTGCACACGAACGCCTAACTAACCTCTGGACCACTGGGCCGGCATCCAACTCTGATTGACTGATGATTTCAAATGTGTAAAAACAATAATCTCTATAACTCGAATTGAAAAAAAACGTCTACTTACTTTGATTCATCAGTTCCCCATTTTTTTTCACCCGCTTGATACAAAGCTTCAGCGTCTTTACGTACCATTTGTGGATTGACTTGTGTCGATTCCTCTCTGCTTGCTTGTAACAATGCAACGCATAAATGTTTAAAATCTCCAGATGTCTCGCTGATTACATCCTTTTCAAGATTACGTCCAGGAAATACTAATAATTAATACAATAATATTAGGCGAAAAAAATGGATTATAAGATAAGTGTAATTTATTATGAATATCATGTAAATTGTATACATGCATTACGGGGTTGTGAAGATTGTTAAGTTACACATTTTTGAAACCATAAACCGACCGATGTTAGACCACCATTAGAAACCTGGAAGCACTGGACAGCCTTTTCGTCCTGGTATGGGACTCCTCAGCAGTGCGCATCCACGACTCCTGCACCCCGCAGGATTCGAGCACAAGACCTTCGGTATTGTGCGCGAACGCCCCAACCGTTAGACCACTGAGCCGGTATCTAACGGTGTTAATGTCTAACTTGATCAATTCACGGAGTTGCGCAACCTCATACACAGTCTTCGGTAGACACTGCCTACACCCGAACAGGTTGAACTTCACTGGTCACGTCTTCACACTAGAACTCGGAGAAGATTCCTCACGAAGCTAGTCACTAGTGAGCACAGGTAATTTGCAATACGGGGTTGTGAAGATTGTTAAGTTACACATTTTTGAAACCATGAATCGACCATGAGGAGTCCCATACCAGGACGAAACGGCCATCCAGTGCTTCCAGGTTTGTAATGATGGTTTAACATTGATCGATTCATGGTTTCAAAAATTATATATATGTAGATTATATCACCATTTGTTGTAATGTAAAGTTAGTTGCTGCAGTTCTGAATTATAAATATTCGGAATATTCTTTTATTACGAACAAGATAAGTACTAATTCAAGAGATTAAATGACTAATACACAACACTTTAAGGGTAATCTTGCTACAGACAGAGAGTGATAGAGAATAGAACATTTGACGGAAGATGTATCGATAAAGATCCCCGAAGAAATAAATCATATTCGACGTAATTCATTTGTCTATTTGTTAATTTCAATGATTATTAATTACAAAATTGATCGAATGAAACAATTGTCACTTGAACAGAAAATCACAGTATAATTTATTCATAAGATAAAAATGTATTGGAGACCAAATGAACTAACTTCACACAATGAATAAATCGATAAAGACCAGTGAACGAAGTTCACTTGGAATCAATATGTTAATTTTACAATTCATTTCTTACTGAATGTGTATGTTTGAGGACTTGGCATTCTTAATTCATTTGACTTGGGTGAGATATCATTCGTAGTTCGGTTCGTTGTAGATTTTGACTGTACATGACATAACTAAAAATTGATTACTCTAGTGTGGACGCATTCAACCGTGGGTTTTGAGTTAGTTATTATTATTATTATAAACTTTATATTGATTTTTGTCAAGAATATTCTCTATACAAATGTCATATTCATATCTAATAATACGTTTGATACGCTATTCCTATTACCGATTTCAAGTTGGAGTATCGCAAATTGAAATCTGGCTATTAATTTTAAATTTAGTTGATCTAATAAAAACCAATAAGAGGATGTTTAATTAAAAGTTTATTAACCTTTTCGTTATGAATTTCGGAAAAATTTTCACGGTTAAAATCACGAATTGATCTTATCTAGACCATCGCTGAAAAACTGAAAGCATCAGACGGCCCTTTCGTACTAGCGTATCTACGGCCCCGGACAAAGGACTCGAACCCAAGGCCTTCGATTCTGTAGGCGAACGCTTAACTTCTGGGTCACTGGGCTCGCATCCGACGGTGCTAACGTCCTGGACTGACTGAAGCGCTTTCAGATTTCCAATGATGGCTATGATTTCAACCGTGAAAATACTACAACCTCCACAAATTCCCCATAGTGATAAAAAGATATCGCCAATGACTTTTATTTTCATCAATCTAAACCTCAGAAGTACTACAATAAAATCAAAAGAAGGAAAAATAAGTAGTGACTGTTATAACTGAACAAAATCTTATGTAGAATAGACGGGATGTGGCTAGCGGAGGAATCCAGAATGCATTTCATCATATTCTGAACTTGTCAGCTGGATGTACCTGTATCATATCGTTTTCGTTAATACAAGCTAGTACATGCCAGCATAAACTGGTGGTTATTTGAAATCAATTGGTCAATAGATAAGTTCTAGTCTTAGTGTGAAAGCCAACATCGGGATCTTGACATATCCACCTAATGAGTCCCAAATAAGACGGAACGTACATCCATAATTCTGCTGCTAGCCATTATCGAACTTCACTAGAATACCTACATTTGAATGACAACACCGAAGTAATCTGCTCTGAATGCACATACATCAACAGAGACAGTCCTTAACATCAACAATTGGGAAAAGCAAACCATTGCAAATGGTTGACGACCGTTTGTGTAAAAGAATAAAAACTCAGCCATCATGAAAACAAATACAATTTTAAAACTTTAGTCAAGATTACTTTATTCGAATGTTGGAATTAACTAAGCTGTTCACATATTCAATGTTAGATTCCGTTTTTTGAATGATTAAAATGAAGATAGTTCTGTAAACATGAGAAATATAATCACTTCAACAGCCAGGAACAACATTCTTTTCTTGTTACCCTATTACGACTAATAACATAACAATTAGCAGTCATGCTTTGCATGATCCGATAAAAACTAAATATTTTAACCTACTTTTCACAATATTTTCATTCCGTTTACAACTATTTCTTAGTAATAAACTTAATGACAATTATTAATGAATCGTTTATTTTTTAAAAATTTGTTTTCGTCAACAGTATGTGTTGATAACATACCTTCGGATCAATAGATGTTGAACTTGAAATAACTTTAAAAATAACCAACTTAATTATTATTATGAATAACATAGTGAAACAATTTTCAGGAATATATTTCTTTCAATGTTCAATAATTGTTTACATTATTTTTACAAGCTTAAATACAAATTCAAAATCTGTTCTAACTGACTACCACCAATGTCACATGATTTGTTCATGGATAAGTGTGTCATTGTATAATTAGCTGTTTCATTTATCAGTCAGTCAGTAACACAAAGGACTAGACATACTGATATTTAACAATTATATTCACAGATAATGATAATAATAAGTTACGTTTTTTTCCGATTGCAATCATAATTAGAAAAGCAGTAAACAATTGGCAAATGTCACATTTCATATGTAAATTGATAAACCAATTATTCACTATGATGCGTGTATCAATATATCAAATCGATTAAATTCATGTTATGAGAAAAAAAGATACGTTCCAACGATTTCAGTGTAAAACAACGATCTCCATAACGAACTCTATGATGAACGATCATAAAAATGTGTTCTATAGTAACTAGATTTGTGAAGTGATACTCGGGTAACTAGTGAGAAGCCTTGACAAATGGAGAACAACTCTGTCGGGTGTAGGCATTAACTACCGAATAAAATAGGTGAGGTTGCGCAAAGTCCTTAGATAGAACAAAGTTAGACATGAAAACCGTCGGATGCCGGCCCAGTGGTCTAGAGTTTAAGCGTTTGCGCGCAAGATCGAAGGATTTGGGTTGGATTCCTGCGAGTAGCGGGAGTCATGGATGCACAGTGTTTATGGGTCTCATACTAGGACAGAACGGCTGTCCAGTGCTTCCAGGTTTCTAATGGTGGTCTAACAACGGTTGATTTCACGATTTCAATGTAATTCATCAGATTATTTGACTATGGAATGTTAGTTATGTAGTCGTAAAATTATCGACAAGAAATTCCTGGGTTCAGTCTATAGTGTAGTTATGACCAAATAATTATGAGGGATTCTATGCTGTGACAAACCGGTTATCCAATCCTTCTTTGTCTTCGGTGGCTGTCTGTTTAAAAAGGGGGATCACGAAGTGCACAGTAAGTTCAACAAATCTAAGGCAGTAGGATCATCGTAGTTTAGTGTATGTCTGCTGCTTGAATCTAATTGTCATGACAGCATATTTATTGAATAGATAAAGATAAGTGAGACTTGTAATTAGCTCACTAAATTGATCTTCTGGTTTCAGCTGAATAAACTTCCAAAAATATAACAATCAATCATCTGGCCATATATCACATTCAGGAAATAAAAACTGTCATTCGTATACAACTACATATTCATACAAGATGGTATAACTTGTCACAAATGGGATTAATCAAAGATAGAGCTAACGATCATAAAACAACCAAGAGTGTCTCCATTTATGTTTTTTACATTTCCAGATAATCTAAATTTTCTCATTACGTCCACTGATTAACAGGGTTGACACAACTACATTTTATCGATATCACGAACCAACCTAAGTTAGACAACCATTAACAACCGGAAAACACTGGATAGTTGTTTCATTCCAGTATTGGACTACTCAGTATTCCTTATCCAAGACCCCCAGGTTAACTCCAGAACTGATGGTCTCGTGTGAAAATGCCAAACATCTAAACCACGGAGAAAAAACCTAGCGGTGTACATATCTAACTTTAGTTAATCCTCTATAGTGAGCGAATGTTTACCACTGTTTTTAATTAGTACTACAGACATTCATGGCTGATAGTTAAGCTTCGAACGTTTCAGTCGCCTTAGCACAATTAGTGTTTTGAACAAATCTTGGGTAGCAATTGGAATCTATCAAAAATGTACTTAGTACTGATACTAAGTTGTTTGGTGTGAGATTCAATGTGATTTGATGTTGTGTTTAATACTGTTCAGTAGAACAGATAATACAAGAATGATAATCATTTCATTAAAAGAAAAACTGACTACAAAGTTCAATTACTAGTAATTAGTAGACAGAATAGTATTTTTACACTAAACATTATGCATGGCCTGAGTGTTTTACTTACAACGTCCGAATGCTTCTTTAATCTGCTTTAATTGATGATTTGTTCTAGTACATAGAATTTCAATCAGTATCGATTCATCGGTACCAGCTCCTTTCATAGCTCTGCGTAGTTCTTGAGCATCAAATTCTGCTGGAGTTAAGCATAACGCTTCCATGGTATCGTAAAAATGTCCACTAAGTTCAGACTTCAAACATGAAATTAAATCTTTTCCATACATTGACCTATATTTCTGTACAAGAATTGCACGTTGTTCTGAAGACCGATGACCTATCACTTCAATTAATTCTTTTTCATTTGTTCCTAAACCTGCCATAGCTTTTCTTAATCGTTCACAATCATCTTCTGGATTGAAATTTGGTGCAGCCACTACAGTTGGATGTAACTAAAAGTAATTCAACAGACAAGAAAAATACGATATATGAGAAAAAAAATTGAACTAGTGAGTGTAAAGTGTAAAGTTTACCAAAGGCCTGAAGTTAATAGATTCGATGCTTTGTCAAAGCAAGCGTGAATACTGCTGAGGAGTTCCAAACTTATATGTATCTGTATATATATAGCCTGAATATAGGAGGGTTGAACATGAAATAGCAACCTCATCCAGTGAAAAACAGACTTGCTAAAAAAGATGCTAACCAGAAAAAAATATATATATATATAATGTTCGGCGGCTGGCAGTAGTCAACCGGAAACCCTGAACCCAGGCTTCATGCAATTTGATAGTTGGTAATGAGGTGTATCTGATTTAGTCGTGAAACTAATGCATCCTGGTAGATTCGAATCAAAGTTATCTAGTTTCACATTTTGAAACGTTAACTCTGAGCTGTTTGTACTATGGCTGACCAACTATTGTCTGACATTGAAACATCGTGCAGTTGATCTTTTCACTTGGACTCATGACCACGTTGCAACTTAGTTAATACAATTCTCCAAGCACTAAAAACTAACTACATATGACATTGACCACAGCTCAGTAGTATATATATATATATATATATATATATATATATATATATATATATATATATATATATATATATATATATATATATATATATATATATATATATATATATATAATTTTTCCAATGATTTGAAACGCATAGTAGAAACCAGTCAAACAAACCAATAACATCTATAAAAATTCTATTTATGGACATGCTTCATAAGACTATTTTATAAATTCAAGAAATTGATAAATAAAAGGTACGACGATGATGTAATGGTCAGTATACTTGAATTTTTACTACTGAGTGCAAAATTTTAACTTTATCCCATCTTCCACAGTTTAATCGGTAATGTTGTGTCACTAACCTTTATAGTTGAGTGAATCACCTTGTACTTGATGAATGAGTTATACTTAAACATGGTTTACTTCAAAATGTTGCTAAAGTACTTGTGGGAAGTCTCAACTGATAGAGTTCATAGTTCATGGGAGTGAAACAGTTGTCATCAGTGACGCTGAATGATCATCACGCTATATCACAAATTGGCGGAAGTAAAAGTCGTACTAGTTCACTGCGCAACCTGTGTGTCCCGTAATCGATACTTGGTCAAATCATGGTTATGTACTAATTAATAACCTTGAACTACGATAAACAACTGTCTAGTTCTTCTTGATTTTCCGCCACATCTCAAATAAAACCAATCTATGGTGAATACTACCAACAAATGAGTTAAATCTTGTTATATTAAAGAATCAAAAGTCAGACAGATATAAGGATAACAGTAAAATAAGACTGATTAAACTAAATAATTAAATTAGTTAATTGGTTGACAAAGGATCAAACTACAATGATTTTATGGGAAAAAAGGGTTGTAACAAAATCAACGCTTAAAATGAATCAACTCACATGTGAACCATACGATCCAACATTAAATCCTATATTTGCAGCCATTTTTTTTTATGGGAATCCAATCGAGATGGTCCTTATTTAGGACTAAAGTAGATATATCAAGAATTAAATCTATGGTGAAAACAGAATTTCAGAACAAATAATTATAATCATGACAGTGTATTTTCAAGTTATAATGTGATCGTTTCAATTATAAGTTTTAATGATGATTACATGACCATGAGAATAAATTCAATTTACTAGACGATAAATTCAAACACTCAAAAAAAGTAATTTAGGACTAAGGTATAATATCTTTAGAGCTTGCTATCGGTACATTATTGAACCCGCTAGACAATTATCAGGACGTTTTTTTTCTACTACTCTAAGTATCAACAGAAAGTATGCCTTCAATTGATCAATATATTGTGTTAGTTCAATTCATTTGAATATTAAAGGCTAATTCAAATTACTAGAGAAATTAGCAATTTCCGAATTCAATTGGAAATGATTAACAAGTGCCCAAACTTCATGTACACTACCCATATATGTAAAAAAAAAGTTTATGAACAAAAGTACTATTATAACTGTTATTTTGATATGAACATAAATTGACAGACTTACTATGGAACACTTCAAAGTTGTGTAAACAAGTATTTACTTAAAAATTCATATAAATTTATATTTTGCAAATTAATCACGCGTTCACGGTTTGTTTTTTTTCAACCAATAAAAATTAAGACTTTCGTCAGAGAATTTTGATTTGCAATTGATATATTAATCAATAAAATGCTACAATAATCTGTTTTTATTGGTCTATTTGCTGCATGACGTCAATTGATATGTAGACAGGTGTTCCCTATTCAAACAAACAGGTGTTCACTTCAGTAATTCTCGAAGTGGCTTTCTATTATAGACATTTGACTATTGAACGAATTAATAGCCACTCGTCACCGATATGGAGCTCAATTTAATACATTGGGCAATAGATATGAATTTTAATCTAATTTTTTTAACTGGTCGGATTATTCGGTTGGTGACATACGCCAGCCAAGAACGATCGAATTTCAGTCAATATATATGAACAACGGGATAATCGTAACCATTAAAAATTACATTATAAATCACAAGTTTAGTTCTTATATCAACCGGTGAAAAGATCTGTTACAAATATAGTCAGTCAGTCAGTCAACAACAACATGGGACTTCGTATGTTCGTATATCAGTTCAAGTTAACATAACACAGCACAGAGATGAAATTGTCTGTTTAAATCCCATAGTAGTAGAGGTAGTAGAAGTATTAGCTGTTATAGGAAATTTTAGGGTTCGACGATATTATTCAAGAAGTAGGATCTAGTGAAATTAACTTAATAGAAAAAGATGAAGTGATGAAGAATTCAGAAGGTTAGGATTTGAATGCACCTGCGCCATTGCAAACGATTTTGTGCCATGTCATTGAGGATCTCCAACCATCGGTTACTATCATTACGCGGGCCCCAACCAAGTAGTCGACACCTACCAACATGACTTAGTCCAGTTGTCAGTGACTTCATGGATTGCTTAACACATGTCCCAACCGCCTCAAATGATGAAGTTTCAATACTTCATCTAATGATCTGCCATCCTTGCCTAGCACTCGTTTCCCAATAACGGCATTGCTGACTCGGTTGTCCCTACGATCGAAGACCAGCAACCTACGGATGTCTTCTACTCTGGCTGACCATGATTCGTGGTCATAAAGCAGGACAGTGCGAACTACTGCGCAGTTCACTCGTCCTTTATTCAGCAAACGGATATCTCGCCTACGCCATAAGTGATACAGGTAGGCAGAAGCTAATTGAGACTCGAGTTTCCATGCTGATATTTCGGCACACACTAGGTCATCAACACTGATGAGACTCCCGAGATAAGTGAAGCGGTCTACACGCTCAACTGCTTCACTCCTTTGATTCAGACCGATTTGGTCTCGTGTACTTTTATGAGTATGAGGGCGGATATTTCTTCTCCGCTGCCTACACTATGGTAGGGATCTAGTTGTCAGAAGAGGAAAGAACTTGGCTTTCATCACACGACGTCATAACTCTTTTAAATGAAGACCTTCTAACTCCCAGAGCAGAGTTTAAATGACTTGAATTATTTTTTTCTTGTTAGCGCTTTTTTAACAAGTTAGATTTTGTGGGATGGAGTCGCCAACCCTCCTCCTTTATCCGGACTTGAGACCGGCAGTAGCCCCTAAGCGTCTACAGGCAGAGTTTGTTACAAATATAAGCCTTTCTTCGGTGTTTGTAACACCGGGTTTAAAAACACTGGACTTCAGCTTCTTAGTACCAGTGTGTTCTGGAGCATTCGTCATCACTTCCATAGAAATTAAGCTTTCTATACTAAAGAAATCAATGAATATATATTTGTCTAAAACCAAATAGCATGCAGTCGAACAAATGGTATTAATCATTGACTTGTTTCTAGGTCGAAGCCTGAAGTGATATCTGTGGAGTTGACCAAGCCAGTAGCCAACTTAATATTGGCTGATTGGTAGTTGATTGCGGTTAAAAATTGCGCATCTTCACATTTCGGCCCATCAAGTGAATGAAGCCATAAATTTTCGAAAAACTATAAGTTCTTAGTTCGACTTTTTTGGTTGTTGGTGGATGTCATTAGTTTATCTGAAACAAAGCAATTCTCAACAACACAATTCACTTAAGTGAAAATACGGAACAAACATGAGTATAAATTTGAAACTAGATAATTTTACTCACAGTAAATTTTGAAAAGATTTAGTAGATCTTGAGAAGGCGATGGAGTTCACTGTCTTTTTTTCGATGAATATTAGTTCACCTGCGATCAACCAAAATAAAGAATCAACCTTCCTTTCATTACCTTCATTTTTTCTATCCTTGGGTAGTTCACTTCACTCGGTAAACGGAGCGAAGACAAATTATGCAATGACACGATAGGCTATTCTAATTAGTTTTTCCGCAGCCCGATGAACTATATCAAGAAGTCTTGATAAGGCGTAGAAAGTGTATTCTGCAAGCACCCAGAAAATACGAAGTTGACAAGTACACAAAGTGAGCTTATTTAAACATGATTGAAACGTCCTTGGGAGAGCCACAAAATATCATGCTAAAATAATCCATCAACCAATGACAGTCAAGGATTTTCTGAGTGAGAAATGTAACCTCAAGGTCAACTGAGCAGCTTATGCGCGAAAATACGAATAATCCTAACTTAGGACCTTTTCCAAGTGAGTTCTGAGGATCTGATGTCCCCAACAACATCAAAACACACTTCAGAGGGAGGATATCAAATAATTTAGGCAAGTTGCCTGATAAGGATGTTTTAATAATAAAAGATCGACAAATACCATTCAGCATGATTATCTAATACTTAATCAATAGCAATAACTTATCACTAAAGGTCACATCGCTATCTGTGAGATTGTGTTGTGGTGCGCGCTACTTATAAGTAGTATATGACGCGAGTGTCAACGTAATGTCTGGCAGCAGAAGATTGGGGAAGATCAAGAAAGGAAGAAGAGTGGGAACACAATGGAATTTGTGTGAAACACATGGACAGTGAAATGTCAGACAATGGATTGATGACTGATTGAACATTTGCAAATTAACGATTTACAATATGGTTTTCCTATTTTACTGAGTAACTCTGTAATTTTCGTTCAATACAATTCGGTTGCCCTCACCTGTGGTCTCCTCCACTACAGTGTAATATAGATTCCGAACACACACACAGGAAATATCGATCTTCCTTACATAGTTCAAATACTTCTGCCAAATGAATCCCAGCCAAAATGAAACCCCTAGATTTTAAGCTCTCTCTACCAAAAACAACTTTATAATACCTAAAATTTACTGAAACTTACCAAAATGGGCTGAGTTTATAAAACCACTGTTTACATTAGTTGTTTACACAGAATCTTATTTCTTTTCTATGAAATTACAATTCAATCATAAAATTACCTCATCTTCGCATAAAAACATACACATATACATAGTGTAGTGAAGGAGAACACAGGTGGGGCAACCGAATTGTATTTAACGAAAATTACAGAGTTACTCAGTAAAATCGGACAACCATATCGTAAATTGTTAATTTGCAAAATATCAGTTCATCATATCGAACTGGACTGACTGTTCCTGTTGCAAAACATCAATCCATTGTCACTATTCATGTGTTTCATACAAATTCCATTGTGTTCTAACTCTTCCTTTCTTGATCTTCCCCAATCTTCTGCTGCCAGACATTACGTACGTTGACACTCACGTCATATACTACTTATAAGTAGCTCGCACCACAATATAATATATCGTAGTAAGTAATAATAATAATAATAATAATAATGATAATAGCATAATCTGTGTTTTAGTTGAATGCATATGTTTTGTCTTAAAACAGGGCCAGTTATTGTCTCTTATTATTTTTTTTACTCCATCTAAAAAGACAACTAAACAAGGTAATTCACAATGTTGATTGTTCAGTTCTGAAAAAGTATTTTATTTTTTAGAAAAACCATATGGAAACAGTGCGTGTCTGATTATATGTCTTTTTTCAAAAAATATTAATAAATTATTCATTAATGCGTTGAAATCTGTACTACTACTACTACTACTACTACTACTAATAGTAATAATAATAATCACTTGTCTGTCTGTCTGTATTTTAATCAGATGAGAAGTTTTAATCAGTCAACTATGACGACGATCTAATCAAATGACAGTAATACCACTAAACAATAATTACTAAAGCGACCTCTAATGGAAGTATTTTTGTAATGAGTTGAAAGCAAATACTTTTTTTCTGTGTTACGTAACAGTATCATACTAAGAACTGTTAGAGAAACAAAAAAAGAGAAATTGGACATTTAGAAAGATTGAGTTTAATCCCACTAGGAAAAGGCAAGAGGGGGTGGGTCATGGATGATGAGTCCCGCACTTGGACGAAATGGCCGCCTATTGCCTTCAGGTCTCAAATGGTGGTCTAACAATCATCATGATTATGATGACAGTTGTGTCCCATTTTTGTTCATTCTTCTCAAGCCTTTTCTCTATTTCTCGGTGTAATGTATTCCTCGGCCTTCCTCTTTTACTTTGACCTTGAGAACTCCAAGTGAGGCCTTGTCTTGTGACGCAGTCGACTGCTTTCCGCAATATGTGTCCTATCCACGTCCACTGCTTCTTCCTGATTTCCTCCTCAACTGGAATCTGATTTTTTCTCTCCCACAGTAGGTTGTTGCTGATAGTGTCTCGTCAAAGGGTCCGAAGTATTTTGCGAAGACAACTGCTAATGAATACTTCTATCCTCTGGATGACGG